TCAATCCGCCGAACAAGCAATCGATATGAATGAATACTTAACTACTTGTATAGATAGTCTTTTGCGCGAACGTCCTTCATCTGGAATTGTTATAGCTGGGGACTTCAATCAACTAAAATTAAGAGAACTATGTAACAGATTTAATTTAAAAAGATCCGTAACTAAACCGACTAGAGGACACAACATTCTTGATCAAATCCTTACAAATATGCTCCCTCTCTTTGACACTGTTAGCCATCTCCCCCCAATCGGACGCTCCGACCACCAATGTCTTCTAATCAAGCCCATTAAAAGACAGAAACCTCCGGTTACGTCAAAAAAAATTAGATTGATGAAACGAGCAAATTTAAATGACCTCTCCCTGAATATGGCTTCTGAAGATTGGACTGCTGTATATTCAGCACTGGATGTGGATGAGAAAGTATCAGCTTATAACTCCATTATAATCAAGATGCTTGACGAGTTCTTACCCGAAAAAACCATCAGAGTACATCACTCTGATAAACCGTGGATCACTGGTAATATTAAAATGCAAATCAAAGCTCGTCAGAAAGCCTTTTCTCGTGGTGATCAGCCAGGATACAAACAACTCTGCGAGAAAGTGGCAAATCTTATAGCTAAAGCTAAAGCCACCTACTATCGGTCCAAGGCCTCAAAATTTCGTACGTCGAATCAATCGAAGTGGTATAACTGTATCTACTCTTTAGTAAATGCCGAAAACACAACCCACACCCAATTTCCACACAGGCCCGAAAACCTAGACTTATCCGACTTAGCTGAAAAACTTCAGAAAGCCTTCACTAAACCATGGTCGGACCGTTACACGAATGTCGCCTTCGAAATACCTGAAGTGAACCATCCACATAAGAATAACAAACCACCTCTTCCTTCTATTGGCCAAGTTAAAGCGGTCTTAAAACATCTTAATCCAAGAAAAGCAACTGGCATTGATAAGGTTCCTGCATGGATGCTCAAACAATACCACGAAGACCTAGCTCCTGTGGTTTATGACATTGTGTGCTGTAGTATAAGTCAATGTTGTTATCCATCACTCTACAAACATGCCCTACTTTCCCCTGTTCCTAAAGTGCAACCGCCGAGAGACATTAACAATGATTTCCGCCAGATATCAGTCTTACCCCATCTTGCCAAGATCCTGGAAAAGATCCAGCTCCAGTTAAATATTGAAGATCTGAAAATTAAGAATAACCAGCACGCGTTTATTCAACATCGAAGCACAGTCTCTGCGTTAATATCAACTACCCAAACCTGGTTTAATGCCACTGATTGTTCAAAAACAGGCAAAATGGGGGTTCATGCGGCCTTCATTGACTTTCGTAAGGCCTTCGACCTTGTGGATCACAATATTCTTTTGAACAAATTAGCAGCTATGAACATAAATAAAACCCTTCTGGTTATGGATTAAAAGTTTCCTTTCCGGAAGAGTTCAACAAGTAAATCTCAATGGTACCTTATCATCCATTGCAACATGCCCGGCCGGAGTCCCGCAAGGCTCTGTAATATCTCCCATTCTTTTTAATACCTACATTGATGATTTGGAGGACGTCTTACCAGAACAACTAAAAGTCAGTACGAATAAGTATGCAGATGACTGCACACAACACCAAATAGTGAGCGTAGATTCTAATAGTAATTTACAATAATCTATCAATGAAGTAAATAACTGGGCGGTGTTAAATAAAATGGCAATTAATGCTAAAAAAACTAAGGACATGTGGATCTCTTTCACGGACGCTATACCTGAACCACCACGTCTTCGTATTGGAAATGAGTTAATAGAAAGGGTCAACGCTTTTAAATTACTTGGCGTGTCGTTCCAAAATAATCTAAAATGGAACGCACATGTTGAAGAGATTACACGTAAAGCAAATAAACGCCTTTACCATCTTAGAGAATGCAGGAAATCGCAGTTACCAGCTGAAGTCGGTATTATTACCTATCAATCCAAAATAAGACCAATTCTCGGGTATGCATCACCTGTCTGGGCGGGACTGCCTAATTACCTGCGAGATGAAATAGAGCGGGTTCAATCCAGGAGCTTAAGAATCCTTGGCCTGGAAAAAGATTACCTACCACCGCTGAACGAAAGAAGGGAAGAGGCAACTAGTCGAGAAGTTGATAGGTTTATGAACGATCCAAACCATCCCTGTCGCAGTGTTTTGCCAAAATTAATTAACAATCGGTACAATTTAAGGAACATTGACCGGAATCGCAATATATCATTCTTCTCAGGAACTGAAAGGCATAAACATTCTTTTTCAGGAAGAGCTTGTAAATATGTATAAATAATTTTAACTTATTGGAAGAACTTACTAGTTTAAAGAACTTATTAGTTTTAACTTCTTAGTTAGCTTTCTAAACTATCTTACAACAATTTGTAATATAAAGACATACCCACAGCATATATACTTTCTTAAACAAGTAATTGTAAGTCCATTGTACTTTTTTATCTTAAGATGGATGAATAAAGCTATTATTATTAAAGTACTTGGCGAAAGTCAGCTAATTTGACTGAGAACTGAAATTTTGAATGATGGTTTTCAAAACGCATTTCAGCACTATTACTTGAAAAGACTAACTAGGAAAATCACTGAATCATTCATCAATTCGCTGGATCAGTAAACTCAATAAAAAGTTTTAAAATGTTAAAACATTAAGTTTGCTGATCTTGAATAGCTTAATTTAAGGTTACAGGACACCCTTTTTGGCGTTTTGAGGAAAATCGCTACTGCGCGCTCAATAGCAGTCCGATTTTCATCAAATTTTCACCAAATGTTCTCCAGTGCATGCAAAATATGGTAAAGTTGTAAAATTAACAAACAATAAAATAATGTAAGAATTATTCAAGAAAATCTTAAATCGCGGTACTGTTACGCTTTTGAGTTGTGCTCCTGCTGGTTTTAAGTTATATTTATAAAAATATCATTTTTATTTTATAAAAATATCATTTTTATACAGTAAAATAGTTGTTCTAAAAAATTGTGTTCGGAAATTTTTGTTTATTTCGTCATTCCGCTGATATGGCGATTTCTTTGACGACTGCAATATATTTCTGAATTGTTTGAGTGAATTGCTCTTTATTTTTAAAATATCCAAAATTAAAAAAAAGCCGAACACAATTTTGAAACTGACGTATTTAGCTATGACCTGTGAAAATTTGAGAAAAATCTGTTAAAACCCTCAGGAGCACAACTCATTTGAAAATTAGTAATTACCATAAAATTTTTCGGGAGAAAATTGAATTTGAATATTACATTTTCAATGTTTTTCTTATTGCAGCGAAATGTATTTTATTAAATAACTCTGCGAGTTTTCAACATTTTTCGTTCAAACTTGGTCAGATAGTAGAACTAGTCTAATGCTTTCATTGAAACCAATAAAAATTTTTTAGGCAAAATTAACACTCAAAGGTGTTCTGTAACCTTAATTGATTTTTATAGTAATGCATCTTAAAAACCATCCTTAACTGCTTAAGAATGCTTAGTGTGCCTTTAAGACCCGAAAAGGCTTCATTGATCCTCAAATTAGCCAGGGGATTTGCTATAAACTCACTAGAGTAAAGGTCGATTGAAGGTTGTCATTTTCGGAATACAAATGTAAAAGCTGGAATAAGTATATATAGTATTAATGTAGTGGGCCTATTCCACTATAGACATGCATAATTTATACCATATAGAGAATAATAAATGCGCGGAAATACCAGATTTATTTCGATTGTTGACCATGATATCTCACAAGTGAGCGCAGCGAATGAGTGAGGTATCATGTTCAACACGAGAAATAATTCTGGTATTTCCAAGCACCCATGTATTTTTCTGTTATTATATAAAGGACAGACAGTCTTTGAAGAGCGATAATTTTCACATGTGAGATTATCATGAATAATCTCACATATGACTGATGTGAGATTATCACTTTTATCAGTGCTCGGAATCTCTATAAAGCACTATACTTTATATAATAATTAAAAAGGAATTATAATACACAGAGTAAATTAAGACACGCCTTGCCCACACACCGATCTAGCCTGTGTACAATCGAGAATAAAGTAAAAGGAGTTTTATACCTGAATTGATTTTTTCGGTTGCATCATCATATGCTTCAGTAAATTTCTTGTGATATAGGATATAAGGACAGTAACTTAGAGTCAAAATCGTTTAAACTGACCGCATTTATATTTGCACGCAGAGTTTTTTCTGAACTGTTCTTTCTAGAATCAGAGCAGTAAGAAACAAACCGCTAAGCTAAGTTATTAATACAAATATTAAGTCGACTATATGTCTATGATACGAATTCAATTACAACTTTTCCCATGAATGTTGTGAACTTCGTTGTGAAGTTCAAAAGTTCATACTGAAATTCACAAGCCGGTTTGTAAACAAAGCCTCTGATTGGTCCCTGAACAAAAATAAGCCAATCAGAGGCTTTGTTTACAAACCGGCTTGTGAATTTCAGTATGAACTTTTGAACTTCACAACGAACTTCGGAACGAAGTTCGCAACAATACAACATTCAGGGAAAAGTTATATGAAATCAACTGTAATTGCTCTTTGCTTAGAGAGCTCAATGCATTACGATGTGCGTGTGCCATATATCGTGATGTGATACATAGACAGTATGACCGCAGTCAAAATGGATCACGCAACCCAACTGACTGACTAAAATGTAATATGAATTTTAAGGCCCGAATCTACACCGTCTAACTATATATATATATATATATATATATATATATATATATATATATATATATATATATATATATATATATGTGTGTGTGTGTGTGTGTGTGTGTGTGTGTGTGTGTGCGTGCGTGCGTGCGTGTGTGTATATATGTGTGTATATATGTGTGTATGTGTGTATATATGTGTGTATATATATATATATGATGAGGTGTAGGACGCCTTAACATGCATGTCTGCAGATTGTATATGTATGTATATGTGTATATATGTATAT